CACAACCACGCCTGAAATCTCGATTATCACTTTATCATGCGAGAGTATAAAATGTTCGGTGACACCCGAACTTAGCCCTTCCTTACTTGTTTACTTATACTTTGTTTAAAATTTTTGTATGAGAGCAAGACAAAATAATCAAAAATGCTGAATTTAAAAATTTCTTCATAGTAAAATATCATATTTTCCATTCAGAAGTGAGAAAATAAATATAATTATTTTGATATAAGATCACATGTGTCCAATTAGCCTTGGTGTGGTAGCAACACGAGAATTTCAAAAATTTGCTTTATATATCAAATATATAATATAAGTATTGAAGAATATTCCTGAAAAATTTGAAAATGATTCCAAAAATAATTTCAAATTTGAGATTGTAATATTAAGAATTTTTTAAATCAGCTCCCGAACTTTTGAACGCTTTTGTGTTGAAACACTGCCTTCAAATTCGGTGTTAAATTTTCTCAAACTTGGCACTACCGATCAGCCTGAAATTTCCATACGACATTTTAAAATGAATTTGTCAGGGATTTGTAAGATTTTTTAAAATAATTTCGATTTTTAAGGCCTTCCTCCCAGAATTTTGCAACGACTCGCCAAAGCACCTATTTTTGGAAGCCGTCATTTTGTTAAAAATTAAAATTTCAAACAGCTCTTTGATCGTTGCCTGTATTAATCTTTAGTAATACATTTTTTAATTTTTTGTATTTCACATACTTTTAAGCAGAAAACCCTTCCAAACGTTTATTTTTGAAGGTTTTCCTGGATATCAAATACGAATTCAAGGGAATTTAAACATTTTTCGAAACGAGTTGCCGATTATTGAAAAAAAAAAATCACAAATATATAAGTTCTTAAATTTGTGAAAGGGAAAGATTATTATACCGTGAACAGGGTACAATGAGACGTTGACGACCCCATAAAATAGATTCAGACGTGATCTGTATGTTGAGCTGAGTTGATTTAGCCACATCTGACAGTCTCTATACAGGCGAAATTGTCTCTCAATTTGGCGATATCTATCTACAATTTGCATACGTCTTTTTCTCCCCTAAGAGTTACTTATTTGCCACAACCACCAGTATGGATACATTGTTTTTGGACGAGAAATCTTCTCAAAATCAGGTATATATATATGTATTTCAATGCTTCAATTTTCGAAAAAGTTTACAGATGGAACCACTTTAGATTGTAGCTCACAACGAACTTGTCGATCAGAATCAAGATCTTGATGGAAACATTTTTATTTGTGAAATTTATTCTAGTTGCAGCGACTAAAGCTAGCATTTTCCTTAATCTTAGCAAGGTATTAACATAGGTTGGCAGTTCTTAGTTAATCTTTCATCCGAGACTTTCTAATTAAAAAAGTCAGTGGTTGCAGATTTCGTTTTTGAATTTTGAAGGATGCCTTTAATTTATTTGTTAAGATATTAACGTCTATAATCACTTTATATATTTTCTTGAAAGCATTTCGTCATCCAATAACGTAACATCACTTTTCAAAACTTTACAGGCAAGGAAAAAACGATATAATAGAACCCACTCATATTAAAGCCTAATCTGAGTTCTGGTTATAAATTGGTTATGATAAATGGTTATATATTGTTTAGTGAATTGTAAGCTATTAACAACTCAATTTTGATTTCTTGCTGTCATGTTTTTTACATTTTAGATAACGATGTGTAAAAAAAAACTCTTCAGATAATTTACCTTTCACCATATTTAACGGTGAAAACAGTGAAATAAAACCAATCCAATAAGTTATTATTATGATTATTACCTTTATACTAAATAATTCGAAAGATTTTGTTACTGCACAATTAATTATTGGACCGGTATGTGTAAAATAGATCTTCTTTGCCTCTTTAAATTACTAGTAGTATAATAGATATATATCCATATATATCCGCATTTCGAAAATTACATTGTTTTACACAGAGTATTATTTACCGACGCCCAACAATGGCGCAAATATGCAGAATAGGTTGAATATATAAATATATGGTGCCTGGTGCATATCATGAAATTATTTCGCATTTTGGCTGAAAATTGCAATGGAGGTTTAGGGAGCCAGCCAACGTAACTGCGTTTTTAGTTTAATTGCAAATTATATAAAACAATAGAGTGAATGTGGAACCGGGCAGCAGTGTTGCTTTAAATGCATGCGGACCTATGCACACGGCGAAGGCACGTGAGCGCCGTTGTGTGCGCTTCATTAACGCAACTTTAATTGCCAAGCGTATAAAATGCTAATGTCCGTTCATGCCGTGCCAAACGGATTGCATTATGCAATTGTTAGTGTTTTTGTATTTGCTTAAAATACGCCATTGTTATTGATGTTGCATACTTTGTGGCGTTATAGCATATTCATTAGATTTAACACAAATGCACACATATTAATACAAATTAATACAACAGCCGCCAGCGTGTTTGCGCTAGTGTGTGTGTATATGCTGCGTAGGTGTGTGCTGGTTGTATGGGTGGGTGTTTAGTTTGTAAGTGTGTGCGTGCGTGGAGATTGTTTGACAATGAATTATACTTACGAGGCCGCGCTGCTTATTAGAATTATAGTTCGCATTTAGTTCGGAACATTAGGGCTGCTAATGCAGCCAAGCGCAAAATAATATCGTAATAATAATAAATTTGAATCTCAAAAACAACAAAAACAGCAATTGGTAGAGGCTTACATGTATGCTTTAATGAGCTCACACATAGATAATTTATACAATAGAATTTATTACAAATTTAAATAGAAATTTAAATGCCTGTTAAAGCGCGCAGTTGCGGGTGCGCTTAACCCCAGCACGAGCCCACTTCGCTCTTCCGCCATCGCATGATTGCTTGCTAGGGCGCTCATGGCCACAAATTGCTCTTGCGGGCCACACATGCGCTCCCACTCTCAAACCCACACTCAGGCCGCACTCAGCCCTATGCACACACACACACACATCTACATGTGTGCAACGTGTGCGGCGTTGCGAGTGCTGCATGTTGCCATACGCAGGACAGTGACGCGTCCTTGAGCTCATTTTTCTAGTGCACTCAATGGCACATCGGGTGCATGAGCACAAGAGTTAATGACTTCGTGATTATGTTTTGATTATATTTGAATTTGCAGTTCGGTTACAATTTCACATTTGTTAAGCAATTAATTTCCATAAATAACAAAGTGAACGCTATTTTGTGTAGATACTAAACACAGCACAATAAATTTAGCGCACTATCTTTGGAATATGCCTCTTTTGAAGAAGCAAAAATTTATTTACATTTACACTTTTGATTATAAGCTTTTATTTGGTAAGGCTTATAAGTCTTGTACTATTGTATAAACTTTTGCTAATTTAAGGATTGGAAAATTTAAAGTAATAGAATTTGAAGTATTTTAAAACCGGTGATCTATTTTGATATATCTTGAATATCCTTGTTACCGTCGCCGGCTTACCAGAAAGCCCCCAAAGAGATGGCTGATGGTACTTAAAAAAGATTTCAAAATAAATTTTGTGCACGGAATCATTACGAATGTAGCATTGGCTTACAGTGATTGAGTTGTATCAAAAACACAAGCCTTCAAAGATAGTAGAGTTATCGTTGAAGAAATACTTCGTTTTTGGACAAATTTCGACCTCTTCAGCTGATGAAAATATTGATAAAGTGAGTGAAGTGGTGCTTGAAAACCGTCAGACAACTGTTGGAGAGATACTAAGAGAGCTCGACACCTCTCACGAGTCCGTAACAATGACTTTGGTGGATAGTCTGGATATGAAACTCGTTCTTGCCCGATTCATACCGATAAGGCTGAGTTTTTAAGGTTTAAGGTTAAATATTGCTCTGTGTGATATTTTCCTGTTCCACAAACGGAAAATGCCGTCATTCGCGAAACCTCTTTTCAACTCATCGAAGAGATAAAACAAAATTAGTTTATGGAAGTTGGATATTCCAAGCGAAGTTGGTCTCCATCTGAGACCATACCATCGTAAATCATTCGCAAAATTTTCTTTCGAAAACTCGCAACGTCGACTCATCAGTTGTTGTCATCGTCCCTATAGAAGGACGGGAATAATGAGTGACTTTTTGAGAGTTTTGTTTTTGTTTGTCGAGAGAGGACTTTACTTCTCAATTGCCTACTCATCCCGAAGTAGCATCTGTTGGCAAGAGTTATCTTGCGTGTGATATCCAGGCTCACATTATTGGTGGTGTTTATATTGGTTAGAAGATAGACGAAATTATCTACGACTTCAAAGCTATGACTGCCAACAGTGACGTGAGAGCCAAGTAGCGAATACGATGACTGTTTGTTTGATGACAGGTGATATTTCGTCTTGCCCTCGTTCACTGCCAGACCCCTTTGCTTTGCTTCGTTTTCCAGTCTGAAGGAAACAAAACTAACGTCGCGAGTACTGAGACCGATTATATCAATATTATCGGCATACGCCAGTAGCTTTACACTTCTGTTCTGCAGCTCAAGTTATTTTCTCTACCATACACACAGTCATTTTTTCCCTTAATTTGATACCAAATCGGTAAAAAAAAAATTGCTTTAAAAGGTTATGACTGTCTACTTGTCTAAAAATTCATAATTTGTCAACTTAATCAGTTAAGAAGGAAAAGTTTTATTAAAAATTTATCCGTTTATCAATAGGGCGGTTAATATTACTGGAATAATCTTCAAAAACACTTCTTTCATAAGTTCCTTGATGGCAGTGGAAATTCGAGCAACATGTTTTATCGGAATCAAGATGTAAACGGTAACTTAGTCTACATTACTAATATTTCTATGAACCACTTAAAAACAAAAATATTACTTTTGAGCTGGTAGAAATTGTAAAATGTACGTAAAATATTTGGTCGTTTATTAAGTTACTTCGTTTAATGTTAATAGCTGATCTTACAAAAAGTTTTCACAGCCAGCTTCACACAAAACCACTTCTTTGAAATATTTTTTCTTAATTTTTTATGAACACTTTTTGTTTGAAGTTTTATCGAAAACGGTATTTTTAGCATACATTTTTTACTGTTTTACCGTCAAAATGATTAATATGTCTTGTGTACGAAGAAGATTTATCGGTTGATTGCTAATGTTATAATTGTTTTGCAATCCTCGTTCCAGCAGTTTCAATTCTGAGAAAGGCCCACGTCCTGGAAGTAATCTTGACGCCAAAGTGGATGAAATAAAATCGTAGGTTGATTCTTATCGCCGCATAACCGCTCAAAATCTTGCGATGGATTACATTTTTCTAACACGACGCAGACACATGAAACGTCTATAATTAACTTCGAATGATGGGATATGGCTTACTTATGTTACGCAAGTTCTTATGTAACGAATTATTTTACTTAGCAAACGAGCCAATATATGCGCACAGAGCAAGTGAATACGAAAACATTAATTTAGAACTGAAAGGAAAAATCAAGAAATCGAAAAAATTTAATCCAGATAAAAAACGGTTTTAAACAAAGAGATATAAGTATCATATTAATTGAATGTTCTCTACCAAAAAATGCAAACAGTTAAATATAAATTGTACGACTTACTTTCCGAATTTAATATATAAGATTAGGTTGTTTTATCGTCGCATCGGGTCATGCTATACATTTTGGAAAGGTCATTTCACGCTAACACGTGTTTGATTGATTGTCGTTTCTTTGAAGTCGTTCGTGAGTTCCTGAGTTATAGCGTCGCAATCATGAAGCAAAATAAAGAGAAAATACGGTATATTTTACAGTACTACTACGATAAAGGCAAAAATGCATCTCAAGCCGCCAATAAAATGTGTGCAGTTTATGGACCCGATACAGTTTCCATTTCCCCCGCACACCGATGGTTTCAACGTTTTCGTTCTGGTGTAGAGGTGGTCGAAGATGCGCCACGCTCCGGAAGGCCTGTCGTCGAAAATTGCGATGAAATCGCTGAATTGGTCGAAAGAGACCGGCATAGTAGTAACCGTAGCATCGATCATGAGATGGGCATGAGTCATAAAAAAAATTTTATGAACAATTGAAAATTCAATAAGAATACCGCAAGACTTTTTTGACAGACTAATATATTTCATAGGAACTCTTATTGAAAAATGCTTTAAGAACAGCCCTACTATTTTAACCAAAATATTACCTACAAAGACGCAATTGGGTTCTAAAACACCAACTGTGCGTCTATTTATACGCCACAACCGTAAATCTTGCTGATAAATGTTCATCATACGCCACGGGTCAGCTTTTTGTTTTTTTTTTTTTTTTTTTTTGTTTTGTTGCATACACTCTACTGATTTCTACATTTGCAACCACTCAGCATTTGCTCTGCATAAAAGCGTTCAGTAGATTTATTTGGCTGAATCCCCCGACCAGCAGCATAAAATACACCAAATAAGCTGGTGATCTTTCTATTTGCCATTTCTTCTTCATTCTGAAGAAATCTAAATATTCGCATGCTGTAGTGGCAGCATCAGCGCAGACAATCTGTTAAATTTTATGCAATCAGCTTGTGCACACACATACGACAAGCACAGTCTAACATTTACACACACATACAAGTACTTAGTTAGATTTGAGCGGGCGATACTCACCGACAACATTCAAATGCAGAAATATTGATGTGGGCGGATGGGTTGACACTTGACATTCATAGACGCCCGCATCACGTAGTTGCACAAATTTTATTTGCAGCGTCCAATCCTGTGGCATGCCACATCACGATTGAATTGGACAATCGCGCGTTAGTGAGCAGCAATGCAATTGGTTGGGTGGGTGTCCGAGTTGCCGGCAGGTCCACAGTGGTACGAACGACATGAAGTGGGGCGAAGCATTGGAAAAGAGAAAAATAGAAATGGAAATAGAAATAGAAATATAAATAGCAACAGTGAAAAATTGTTGGATAATATGCTAACAGCATTCGCAGATAAATGTAACACAATCAGTGGCAGTGGATTTTTGGTGCGGCTTGCACATGAACTAATGCATTTTACTTGTAACGTACAGCGAACCAAAGCAAAATGAAAAATCAAAATAAAATTGATTATGGACACCAATAGTGCGCGCGCAAAAAATTTAGATTTTTGCAGAAAAATGAACGCAGCGCTTTTTCTAGCCAAACACAACATTTTTCATTTACTTTTCCATTTTTTAATTTCTTTTTTGTTTTTTTTGTAGACTTAGCTGGCATTTCCGCAACAAAGTGTGAATGCGCTGCGAATTGTCGCACACGGCCGCCACTGCGCTGCGTTATATTTATGCGGCTTGTCGCATTTGGCTGCCTGATTGCCGCTGATGCCTTGTTGTTATCGTGCCGTTTTTCTTTAAGCCCGTCAGGGGTCAGCTGGCGCTGTATGCGTTTGTGTGTGTGTTGGCGCACCACTTTATGCCAGTCACGTTTCATCGCTGCGGCCAGCTATTTTAACCACACATGCGCATGCAACATTCATTGCACTCGTGACGCAATGGCACATCACTCACGTATTCACGCGTGCGGCGAACATTGCACGTATGCCAAGTGCATCCGTTGCAGTGGACACTTTGCTGTGCATGTGTGTGTGTGTGTAGTATTTATGAGTGAGTGTTAGTGCATTAACGAATGCAAGGCACGAAAAATTTTTGAGTTTTAAAGTGTGGAAAGTTTTTCAATAATTTTGATCTTTTTTTGTATTTTATATGTTTGTTATAATATGTGACAAACTTGGTTCATAAGGAGCTTATTGTATGTAGGTTAGTTTATAACACAAAAAGTTTGTTATATAATAAACTGCCGCCTAGACTGCAAGTCTCATATAGCACTTTGTATTACCTCGGAATGCTTCAAATGCGTGGCACTGAATCGCTCATCACTGCTGTAGGTAGTCAGTCCCACTGTCAGTAGATGGTAGTCTTTTTTGCGTATCCAAGATACCTGAAATGAGCGAAAAGAATATCAAATATATTGTAGCGGTTGAAATATGCGCAAAAGAGGCAATAATACATACATATTTCAACATATCTACCGAAATGTTGAGCGCCACATAGCCCACATACTTAAAGATAAGAGTATATTTCTAAATTTTCTGCTTTCAGAAATGTTTATAGCCTTTTTACAATAGAAAAAAATCATCCATAAAGACAAAGATCGTTAGTATGTGTGATATTACATTATAATTAAACACACTTTATCATAAGTGGAGTTTATGAATGCGCCTTGAACTTCACAGATTACACTGGAGTATTTAAATAATATTTTCATAGAACTGCGACCACATAAAGGAATAAAAATAAAAAAGTATGACAGCAAACATCCCTGAAAATATATATTTCTATACAATTTAATATATCACATATATACAGCGGGGAGCTAAAGCGAGTCTAAGTTTGTTTTTACCGCATTTCGGAGAGAATGATGAAGAAATAAGTATAGCAAATGGTAAAAATGTTTATTTTCTTTATTCCGTATATAATTTACTATAAATTAACAGAAGAAGGAATAGATGAACAAACAAAGATAGAAAAAAAACGAAAACTAGAACAAGTCGTATTTTCTCATTCAAGCACCATTTTAATTTTATTACCAACAAACAGGAATGTTAAATTGAATTTTATTATAATATTAACGTTTGGTTCATAAGATTTTTTTTGTGATGCTTTTCTAACGTTTTGGTATTCTTCCAACAAGATTTTCCATGACTTCTTCAAGAACCTTTTGCCATATATTTTTTAGGCTTGGTGGAGCTGATTGATATTGTGCCAATTGTCTTTTAACTATCGACCGCACATTTTCATTGGATTGAGGTTAGGGCTTTGTGCCGGCCACTTCATCAACTGGATATTTTGGTTCGGTAGACATTTTTGCACGAATTTTGCTGTGCGCTTCGGGTATCCATCTATTTCAGCTTCGTTGTAAGCACTGTGTTCAATAAATTTGTGAAGATGGTTCTTTGATAGTATTAGATATTGCTCTTTGTTCATTATTCCTTTTATATTGTGTAGTGGTGCAATGTACCGCCAGGATAAACAGCCCTTTTACCGTTTGCTTAACATGATGTCGTTAGATGGCTCCACTGGAATGGCGTTAGCAATATTGTTTTCCATCTGGCTGAAACTTTCCAGTCATTTCTTCTCCGATTTCGAAGCTGTCTGGAAAACTTAAACGTGCCCTCACATTTGTCTCCGACAATGCAGGTTTTCTTATCTTTATTTATGTCTGAAAAACCAAATTGGGCGTTAATAACTTATACTTTCTCATATTATAAACCATATTTCGAGAATCCGCATTTGTTAACAGCCGATGATGGTCACCTAAGAAGGTTCGCAACTTAAACCTTGCATCTTTTTCGGACGCATATGACCACCGACTGACTTAATTTATGTTTATTACCTATTAACCGAGACGAACAGCCTTTCTCGGTAAGAGTTATTATAAAATTTAAATGTCCTGACTTAATTTCCGCACAATTTTGAAATATTAATAAAAGTAGGCTTTCAATTAAAATGTAGCCACTTCGACACTTTAAATCATAAAAAAACGAATAAACGTTAAACGTTTTTTACTTGACATTTATTGGTCTGTTTGCATGACAGCTATATGTACGTAATACGATACTTTTTGAACACACCAGTGCTCCAACATGAACAAATCCTACGAAGAGTCTGCCGTTGCCTTCAAAAAAAAAAAAAAAAAAAAAAAAAAAAAAAAAAAAAAAAAAAAAAAAAAAAAAAAAAAAAAAAAAAAAAAAAAAAAAAAAAATGTATGTTAAACTTTGTGATATGTTTTCAAATAACGAACCTTTCCATACGGAAAGCTATAAGCTAAAATAGTCTGATCTGTACAATTCCTTGGGTGATTAAAACATTGCCCTGGGCAATTATTCTTGTCAACTTTCTTGAAACTATCTTGTTAAATTAAATGTTTTTCATAATACAGGGACTTAATTTTCAACGATCAATTATTGTGGCGGCTATATGCTATAGTGATCTGATATCGGTGAATCTTACAAATGAGCAGCTTCTTGTGAAGAAAAGGATGATTGCCAACTTTCAGTTCGATGAGAGACAAGTTCGCATATATAGACATATATTTAAAATAATCGATTCAGCAACAATAGAATTTGTAGCTTGTAAAACTCAGTTCGCCTGAGCCCTTCTTGATGTCGTGCTACCTACACACAAGCCAAAGATTGACGTGTTACCCAAAAAGTTCATTAATCATTGGACTTAAAGTCATAAAATTCGCAATTCACTCACGTAACATGTAGAAAATGGTTGTTCAAAGCACGTATGCTAACTTAACACAACTATTTATACACCATGTATGTACACATATATTCGAAGTTGATTGATATACATATATATATATGTGTATGGACAAGTTTACATACACTTTCATATTGCAATCAATTTCGAATTTATAAAATATTGATGAATTTATCTCAACGCAAGCCTGCCGGTGTTCGGGTGGAGGCATTTATTTGAGGTTGTAAGCGAACGCAAAAAAAAGAGATACAAAATGAAAGAAAAATATTTAGAGAAGCGCTGTGTAATACATAACAGTTTATACTTCCGAGAATAAGGGACAGCCACAAGTCTTCGTAATGACATTAAGCGAATTTCGATTTTCTTATCTCCTGCTTTTAAGCACTCACAGCGAAAGCTTAACAAATATTATTATATAATCTTTTTCACCTTCTTTACTTTTATTTAAATGCCGCACAGGCGACTGGCCAAACAGTATTGTCCAACACAAGTGAAGCATTTGGGCACAAGCCACTCATATCCGCTGACTTTAGAGGGAATCGAGCAGAGACACATATTAATAATTTTCAGTTTAGTAAACGAAAATGTGAAAGTAAGCACGACATAAAACCGTATTGCGGGTAATATAAGGCGAGCGTCTGTTTAAATTTAAATTTATTTACTTTGCTACTTTTACTCGTACGCACACGCAGCACGAGCGGCTCTAAGGACGGGTAATAGCCGAGGCGAGGCCTAAAACTTTATTCAATATGCACCTTTTTTTTTATTGTATATCATTTGGTTTACATGAGCTTCTATTGTGTCAGGTCGTTTACTCCAACTGTTATGAGCTGCTGTGTTGTTGCTGTTATTGTGCGGCAATTTATTTTCACTGACGCTGCTTTGCTTTCCCACTGCGCATAAGCTTCTATGTGTGTGTGTGTGTGAAAGTACAATTTGTGTGAGCCCATTTTCAAAGCAAAACGAAAGAAAGCAGCAATCTTCATATGGCTCTTTTGTTTTCTAAATTGATTGTGGCGCCATATTGCCGTCTTCGAACCGACCGCCCAGACCAACAATGGAGGAAACGAAGCAAAGTGCGTCAAATTGACGCAAATGTCAAGCCATTGAATAATATTTCCACTCATTTGCTGTCGTTACATCTCAATAGACTGGCCGTATTTTGTTTGCGTATGAACTAAGAGACACAATATGTTATGGGCGATTATGTATGAACACATACACACACTTTGTCATTAAGAGAGAATTACTTCGACCCTAAAATGAACTTTTCACAATTACTATTCACGCACATGAGATCTGCATTTGCCTTTCTTTTTGAAGCAAGGAAAATGAAAGTGAAAGGCGATACTTTAGAATGCCATGAACTGTTATTTATGTAAGTACCTACTAGGCATATTCATTGTTGGCACATGTTGGTCACTCTTGCCGCTGAGTGGCCCATATCAAGACTACTTTGCTTATTGAATTGTAAATGCTAAGCGTTTATAGGGTTCGGCGATTTCCGTTATGCCGAAGAAAGTAGCGGAAATTGTTCTCGCACATTTTTCGATTTTTCTAAGCAAATATACTTCATATATTCTTTTTGTATATTTACTTGTTTGCCTTGGAAAATGGCTTCATATTTGCATATGAGGGGCACATGAGTGCTCTATTGTTGAATCGCAGATCGAATATATTTGCTTTGGGCATAGGGAAAAGGGTTACAAAGATTGTATTTACATCTAAGATATCTTGTCGAATTTATTAAAGGCAAATATTTACATAACAGAGTGGACGAAATCTGAATCAGATTCACTTAGAAATTAATTGGGTATTCATATTTACAAAAGGTTAGTATTCAATGCTATTTTTATCTTATTTTTGAGGTTTAAAAGATTTGAGCCATCTCGAAAAAAGCCGTGCCTCATTCACGCACGCTTACGTGGTCTTATGAAAAACATAAAAGAACTACTGCTTCCTAAAAATATTTGCCACGCAAAGCTTTTCTTTAACTCTACATTCTTCTATCAGTTTAAAGCTCAGTCCAGAGCAACACTTTCCATTTAAGAAAAAAGTGAAGCATAGTAAGGTTCCAGAAAACCATTTGCAACCACACCGTGTGCAAAATTTTCAAAAAAGCTGGTTACCGATGTCAAGTCACACGGAAGAAGTAATTTATTTCATTGACGAACAGACAAAAGCGACTTGCATTTGCCAATGAGTATAGTAATATGACGGTGGAATTTTGAAAACGGGTTATTTTCTCAGACGGAAGCATATTTTGCATATTTGGAATAAAAGGGCGAGAGCTTGTTTAGAGGAAACGCGGTACTGCACGCAATAAATAAAATCTTGCGGCGTCAGTAAACTGTGGTCAGGCGGTGGTGGTGTAATCGTGTGGGGTATATGAATAGTAATCGATACACAACATAGAGTTTATCGAGTCAACAATGGATAGGATAGTTTATTTGGATATAATTAAGGCAAATTTGAAGAAAACTTCAGCAAAACTGGGGTTAAAGGATAGGTAGTTGTTCCAACAGGACAATGCCACCAAGCATACTATATAACACTGAAGATTTGGCTTTTTTATCAATCACCAGATCTCAACTTCATTGAACACTTATGAGATTTGTTAGAACGTCGTATCCACTAGCACCATATTTGCTCGGAAGAAATGATAGAAAG